TCATGTGTGTATTTTCCGCAGAGTGATCCCGAGACCTTGTTGAAATGTCTGACAATGTGTGCCGAGTTGTTCAAGCAAATGAACATCAAGAGAGGAATCTGCCCTACCCTGAATGCTCTGATAGAGTCACTGGTACAATACTCATAAAAGCACTCACATCAATAGCCATTTCCTGCCATTCTGTGGTATAGGACAAGCCTGTGTCTGCATAGCACTTTTATCAGCCACTTTGGTTACTGAACTCTCAATCCAAAATCAGTGCAATACTTAATTAGGGCTGCAGTTATGGGAATGTAACTTCAAAGTGATCTCTCAATTCTACTGTAGATACTGCCAAGTGTGTCCAACCCTAACCCTGCTGTGCGCAACATGGCTGTCATCTGTTTGGGAACGGCTGCTCTCCACAGTAAAGACCTTTCCAACACACACCTTGTGCTGCTCTTGCAGGTATTTATAACACACTTGTTATAAAGATGAATTAATTCACTTTGTTCTAGTGGCTTAGAGGTAGTTTATTTTTATGTTTAGATAACACAACTAGAATCAGAATCAGTGCTCTCCGGGTTCTCATCGACCAGCTCCTGCTCAATGGCCTCAACATCTTCCAAGACAAGTCTGCTCCTATCTCACAAGCACCTGACTCACCAGACAACAGTAACGGACAGCCTGAACAACAAACTGAGGAGGAGAGTACCGTCCAGAGCATTCTGAAGATGCTCTCAGAATTTCTTGATAGTGAGGTACTGCCTATCCATTATGTTATTGGTTATGCTATATTGGAACATCGCTATCACTAGTAAACCTGATATTTCCTGCCAAATCAGCTGAAATGGCAAGTGACGGCTGTGTTAAACAGTTTCTTGAACGAGAAACAAAATATAGATAAGGTCTTGATTTTTGTCCAGTTGATTGGACAGTTGTTTGCTAATTGCTGTGATCGAAGAATTGAAACTTGTCTGGCTATAGACCAATTTGGAGTAGAAGTCACAGTTACATCACTTGCATCTGCACACGCATTGTAGTGGCAGAAAAACATTGGCAACAAGTGGAAGGAAACGGTTCAAATCCATGGAATAAGAGAAAAAATTGTTGTTCTATTGGATATCAGAATTGGAATGCAAATCGTTTTTATAGAATACTGTCGTCACAGACTCCATGAAGCTAAACGCAGATGTTTAAATGGACAAACTATGGATGGAACCTGCTTTGATTACCCTAGCATAAATTTGATTTAAACAATGGGTCTACATAATATTCACATGTGCAGTTCATAGGGGACATATTTTATTAGCCCTACTACAGTAACATCATGAAATACTATTTATACCTACGACATTGACCTATTTCATCTCACAATTCTGACTTTTTTTTT